CGGGCACAGACCCCGCGCGGCCCGCCCCGTGTTGGCGCGGAGGCTCCTGCCCGACCGCTCCCCAGACCCACCTCCTACGTGTCGCGGAACTGTTATCCACCCCCCATTCGTCCTGTCCAAACTTCGCACCGCTTGTGGCGGTGAAATTGCAAGATAATGGTAATAATAACAGCAGCAGCTTTGCAGGGGTCCCCATTGCCCCAAGGTTCCAGGGAGATGAAAGCGATACAGAGGCTCATCAAAACGATACATTATAATAGCTAACAACAGTGTATTGTTGTAATAAAAACAGTAACGGCCATAATTATAATAGCAATAATGCCAACAATAGCTGCCAATATTATTATAATAGTAATAATAAGCATAGGAATTGCCAGGTAAGGCGCTTGGGAGCCAGGCTCTGTACCAGGCTCTTTGTGTATCATCAGAATTGCCCAAAACTGAGTCCCTTAGATACACCTTTATTTTTTGCTATATATTCTTACCGTTTTGACAACCATTTCTTGAATATTCCTCTTTAAACTGATGCATTTTTTTAAAATGTAAAATGATTTATTTGTTACAAATCTTGATCACTCAAAAGAGAAAGAAGTCAAGCCACTGACTGGGAGAAAATATTTCCAAAAGACATATCTGATAATGGACTACAAAGAACTCTTAAAATTCAACAAGAGAACAAACAATTCCATTAAAAAATGAGCCAAAGACCTAAACAGACACTACACCAAAGAAAAAATACAGATGGCAAGGATCATATGAAATGATGCTCCACATCATGTCATTAGGGAAATGCAAATTAAAGCAATGAGATACCACCATACACCTATTAGAGTGGCCAAAACCTGGAACACTGACAACCGAATGCCGGTGAGGAGGTGGAGTAACAGAAACTCTCACACGTTGCTGATGGGAATGCAAAATGGTACAGACACTTTGGAAGATAGTTTTGGCAGTTTCTTACAAAACTAAATACACTCTTACGATACAAGCCTGCAGTCGTGCTCCTTGGTAATCACCCAAATGAGCTGAAAACTTATGTCCATACAAAAACCTGCACATGGATGTTTATAACAGCTTTATCCATAATTGCCAAAACTTGGAAGCAACCAAGATGTCCCTCAGTGAGTGAATGGATAAACTGTGGTACATCCAGACAATGGAATATGAATCATTGCTAAAAAAGAACTATCAAGCCATGAAAAAACATGGAAGAATCTTCAATGCATATTACTAAGTGAAAGAAGCCAATCTGAAAAGGCTACATACTGCATGATTCCAACTATATGATGTTCTGGAAAAGGCAAAACCTGGAGACAGAAAGATCAGTTGTTGCCAAGGGTATGGGGGAGGAAGGATGAATATGTGGAGCACAGACGATTTTTAGGACAGTGAAAACACTCTGTATGATACTGTAATGGTGGATATATATCATTACACATTTGTCCAAACCCATAGGACTTACAACATCAAGAGTGAACCAGTAACATAAACTATGGACTTTGGGTGATAATAGTGTGTGGACGTAGGTTCAACCCTTTGCAACAAATGAGCAACTCTGGTGGGGGATGTTGATGAGTGAGGGGCTGAGCATGTAGCGGGCAGGGAGTTTATAAGAACTCTGTACTTTCTGTTCAGTTTTACTCTAAAAAATAAAGTCTGTTTAGAAAGAAAACATATCACTTCATACATGGAAAGCCAGCAATATTTTTTTCATAAATAAAAAGAGAAGGAAGAAAGGTCAGAAAGGCAGAGGGCATGAAAGACAGAGGATACTGTAAATGAGGTAAATCCTCATGTATTGGAGCCAAAATCAATAGGTAATGTCTAAAAGCTAATAAAAATATAAAGCTAGTAACAAATGTTCACATAAGGACATTATTTAGCTCTATGGCAATAACCATTAGAAGAAATAGCTATGAAGGCCAGATGTGGTTACCATGCCACCTGAGCATATGAAGATACTCAACCTTTTCTAATAAGACATTTTAAAGGCAAAGGAAGAGAGATACCATTCCTTACCAATTACCGATTGATATTTATTTGAATGGAATTGGGGAGAGCATGGAGAAAGGGACACTTGACTATGAAGTCGGTGGACAAGTACATCAGTACAATCTCTTTGGGGGACAATTTGTCAATATCTATCAAACTTACAAAAGTACGTACCTTTGGACTCAGGAATCCTAACAGGTAAAGGCACGCATGTGCAGGAAAATGAGAGTACAAGGTTCTTTGCTGCCTCACTGTAACATGAAAAAGCTGGCATCAACCTCAAGGTCCCTCATAGGGGCTGGTTAAATCAATTATTATCTAACCCGACAATGGGATATGGTGCAGTCTCCTGAAATAACAAAGTAGTTGTTTATGCTCTGATGTGGAAGATCTTTGAGATACATTGTAGGAGGAAAAAGCAAGGTGCGTAGCAGTGTTTGTAGCATGTTACCATTTCTGTTTTGTTTTGAAGGATATTTATATTATATGCTGACCTATGCATAGCATATCTCTGGAAAGAGATGTAATAAATTGGTAAGAGTGATTGCCTTTGGAGAGAGGTAACTTTTGAAATTTTTATGTTGTGCCTGAATACATCTATTTGCCGTGCCTGGTAATAACTGTTCAAATACATGTGAAAAAGAAGTTAAGTGATTGCCTTTAGAGAACTGAATAGGAGGTGGGAAGGGTGGGATGGGATGGTGGCTTTTAATTACATACATAATCAAATATACATTATATGTATGTAACATATACTAGAAACACACACATACATATAATACTGATTAACAAATATTTTAACTACCAAGAAAAAGGAAAGAAAGAAGAAAGAGAGACAGAGGCAGAGAGAGGTGGTCTCTATTGATGGAAGGGTCCAGTCAGGGCAGGCAACCATTCCTGACCATGGAATGTCCCTGAGAGGTCCCTTATGACAAGGACCAGCAGCTTCCTGTAGTTTCCAGCCTCCTTTATCTGGTTTCTCTCTGTCCTGCCAGGTTTGAAGCATCCAAATAGCTGGTGACCTAGTTCCCAGAAAATCTCCCTTGCTATCCTTTTGTAAGGGCCCTGGGGAGTGTGGGGCTCTTGGCAGATGCCACATCTGTGGACACAAAGAGAAGCTTATTCTCCTCTTAGCAGGGACCCATCAGAATGCAGAGAACTGTCCAGCTGAGGTGGAGCACACCCCTCTCACATGGCTCTGGGCTCTGGGTGGGGGTGGTCAGTCTCCCTTCACTGCTCACGTCTGTCCCGGTTGTTGACTGCTGCAGAACGAACCGCCCCAGACCTCAGAGACTTACAATAACAACCTATCATTATCTTTCACAGTCCTGTCAGTTGATTGGGTGGTTCGCATGGGGTCTCTCATGCAGTTGCAGTCAGAAAGCAGCTGCTGCTGAAGTCATCTCAAGGCTCCGTTGGGCTGGACGTCCCAAACAGCTTTCTCACTCACCTGTCTGCTGCCTTGCCCGATACGGCTGGGACGAGCAAGGAAGGACTAGGGGGCCTTCTTTTTTGCCCCACGTGGCTAGCTTGGGTTTCCTCCCACCATGGCAGTCTCAAGGTCGTCCAACTCCTTCGATGGCAACTGATTTATCCAAGGGAGTGTTGTTCTGAAAGTCAAAGTGGAGGCCACACGTCTTCTTTCCACCGAGCCTCAGAAGTCAGGCACATCACTTCTGCTACGTCCTGCTGGTTTCACGGGGCCAGCCCAGAGTGCACGCGGGAGGGGGCCACACAAGCGCGTGAACAGCAGAGTGTGTGGTTCTTGATGGGCCATCTTCAGAGGCCAGCCACTGCAATGCTGCTGCCAGTGAACACTGTCTCCTCTTCCTTCCCTTGCCCCTCCAGCCACCCCTTCTTAGTCTATTTAAATGGTTTTTCCTCATCTTCCAGCTTCAAATTAATCGAGTGCCCCAAATCTCAGACCTGGCCTCTTCTCTGTCTACATTGTCTCCCTTAGTGATCTCATCTGTTCTCATGACTCTAAACACTGATAAGCTGACAAGTCCCAACTTCACATCCCCAACCTGAACCTTTCCTCTGAAGTCTAGACTCCAGTGTCTAACTGCCTGCTTGATATTTGTGCTTAGGTATCTCACCAGGACCTCAGTGTTAGCAGCTCTATACCCCTTCCACACCTTCCACCCCCTCCCCCTGCTCCCAGACACTTCACAAAAGAGTAGACCTGAACAGCCAGTAGTTGCACATAAGAAGATGCTCAGTAACATCGTTAGGGGAGTCCAAGTTACAATCACAATGAGATACAACTACGCATCCGTTAGAAGGTAGAACATCACAAAGACTGGTCATAACAAGTGCTGGTGTGAATGGGGAGCACGTGAAACTCTCCTATGCCAAGATGAATGCAAAGTGTGGAAAACCACTCTAGAAAACAGTTGGGTAGTTTTTCAAGAAAAGGTAAGCATGTACCTACCAGAGGATATAACCCAGACATTCCACTCCTAGGATTTTACCCAAGAGAAACAAAAGCATTTGTCCACACAAAGACTTGTACTCAAATATTCAGAGCAGCTTTATTTGTAATCATCAAAAACTGGAAACAATCTAAAAAGTTCATCAACAGATGAATGAATAAACAAATCATGAAACACCCATACAATGGGATGTTTCTTAGCAGTAGAAAAGGAACAAATTCTTGACCCTATGACACCTCAAAATCATCATGCTGAGTAAAAGAAGCCAGCTCCCATCACCTAAAAATGAATACGTACTTATGAGTTCATTTACATAAATTCTG